ATATTACCATCAATCACTGCTTCATTCCTTAATAAAACAATATCTAAACACCCAATTCTTATATTTCCACATACACCAACACTGAAAATAATCCAATCACAATGTTCACCAACACACATATTCTTACCCAACTCCATACCCTCTATCATCGTACTATAAATTTCTCCACAGTTGGGCAAATATTCCCTAATTATTCCCCATCAAAATCAACCCCACCAACATTCAAGCAGCCCCAACAAATTTCACCGCTCTTGAATGCCAGCATAGGTTACAATATATTATGTCCCGTCCAACACACCCCATCATCACAGTGCGACGGGAGATGATAACATGTCTAATCGCACATACACATGAAACACAGATATAATCCCGCCGATTGACTGTCACAATACATATCCGGATAATCCCAACAATAGTATTCACAGCCCCCTGAATTTTATATATAGTTTTCAATCGAAGACAGTCCCTCGTACCATATTACCCCCCAACCATCCCTTATGCTCCTTGATGCCCAGATTGGATTTGTCATCATCAATCATTCTCCGGTCAGTTGAGCGATTGCGCTGAAGTCATAACCTAATTTCCACTAATCCCAATTATTCAGTTCACCCTAAGTTCAAAACTTCTTCCTTAAGTTTTTGCATGAGTATTTTTCAGTGCTCAAGTTAATACTGTGGTACCAAATGTAGCCCAAATGAACCTGATTACATACATGGCTATATATAGGGAACCAACGGTCCCGTGTACTATCAGCCACGGCGGCCATACTTGCTGACACCTCCGTCGATAGTAACATCCCTTGCCATTATCACATCAATCACGGAGTTCAAAACAAGAAAATCCTCCTCGTAAACAATACCAGTGCACAGCGTAAAATAGAAAAAAACTATATTAATCGCCTTATTTAGTGACCCAAATATAAACTGAACCTACCTTCTTATCCTACTCTCCACTTGTCACATATCAACATTTATTCTAAACACCAGTTGATTACATATCCGGGACGCATCTATATGCCAACAACAGAGATTATTCATGAAAACTGTTTAGACCATCACTTTTCCAACTCTGTGCCCACCTAGTATTACGAATGTATATGTACAAGTAACTCCGAATAACCTATCTGAGTGTATACTTTTTCCACCCAATGATCTAGTTTGTAACAATCCCCGTGTCAAAAATGCGCTTACCTACAACAACAAAGGCGCTTTTGGTATATGTGATGAAGAGTATATATTAATCATCAAAACTAGTACGGGCAACCATCGATCAAGGCTCAGTCGATACAAGTCTGCTGGCCTTCTTTAGTTCAGATACTTGTGACCGGTAGCATTTCAGAGATCTACCAATAACAAACGGAATGCTACAATCTAAGCTACAGTCTCCTGCTCCCACCCCTTTCCTACCATACTAAATTTAAAATCCCTAAACTTTGATATATTGTATACACCACCACCCTCCCATCACCTATTATATAATAATCCCGTCAAGCCACTATCACCCATTACTTGCTCAACTTGGGGGCTTATTATATTTTTGTTGATGTTTAATGATTTTCCCCTATCCCTCTCGATTATAACCCAAATCGATTACTATTATATTATTCGTTGTGACGACCTTATTTTCTACGTCCACAAACATCTTTTCCCCTTACCTTCCATAATGCATCCGCCAAAACCGTCCCCACCTGTATCCTATTAAATCTGTTGACCACTGGAGCACGCCATCTCAACAGTTAGCTAGTCCTCCATATCATTTTAATTCCCCTCTTCTTAATCTTCAATAGCTACCTATCTCAAATAACAACACATACACCATTACCCAATCCATATCAAAATCTTACTACAATCACCCCCCAACTTTACATATTTAAAAACCCTGTTACGCACCTTAAACTCTCCAATACTACCCACCACATAACCCACAATACATATTCATAATCATAACCCACAACCCAAAAATCTTCTATCCCAATATACATCATTAGTATAATACATACCTTTTTTACATAAAACGTCTACCTTTATTACTACAGTCACATTACATATTACATTTACTATATTTTCCATTTATAATTTCAATAGAACTCTATATATCTTCTTAAACATAATCCAATTCATACCCAATCGGAGGATCACCTCACCTCACGCCAAAGCTACAATCCCCCAAATGTAGTACCCAAATTCAACCCTGCTCTTTCCCATCCAATCAGGCCCATGCAGCTGAATAACTTCCATCATGCCTCACATTAAAGCAATCTTCCATACTAATTATTATCCTAAACCCTTCCCAACATTTACCCCACTCCCCAACCCCCCTATCCCCCTTTTTTATACTATGATCACCTTCTGGGACAACAGATATACATCGAATTGTGCTCTCAGCATAGTAATATCTTATGCCACAGCACCATCCGTCATTCTGCCTTTCTTTCCTATTTATTCCTGTCATTTCTACTACCTTACCCCTCACCCCCATCAATTTCCTCAACCCCACCTACCCTCATGCAGGAGACTTCGGTCCCTCAGGACTAGCACCCCACTCCCGAATACCTAAACAACCACATCATAATTCACCAATCACCCAAAACCATACCCTCCACAATACACTACCACATCTTCCAAAACATAAAACATACAACAACCTACCCAAACCATCCAACAACCCTACCAACACCATAATCACCCCCACAATCCATCACAATCCACAATATATCCCACAACACCAACTCATATACATTCACCAAATATACAACCAAACAACATCAACCAACAACAAACAAACCCACACAAATCATAAATCAAATCAACATCCAAAACCCTAAATAACATAAATCCACCATTTAAACTACCTCTTCCTCTTTCAATATTAATAAATAACCCCCCCAAACAACAACCCTCACCCCACTATCTCCCATTTTAACCAACCACTTTCCCCAAATACCCCCCAACCCAACAACAATAAAAAATCCCCCCCCACACCCTTTATAACATACCCTCTTTTCCTTCCCCCTCTCCAAAATAAAATCATCAAATTCTCACCCCCCCCTACCAATCACCCCCACCACACCCAACCAACACCTAAAAAAACATCCTTACCCACAATCCCATAACCCTCCACTCTTCCTATTCACATACAAAATCAAACAACCACTCCCAAAATACTACCACACCCAAAACCCAACACACCTACAAAACACAACTACCCCACCCCCACTCCCATCCATTCATCCCAACTTCCCAATTTCTATAAAATCCCACCCCTACCCTTCAACACACCCAATCCCACCTTCCCAACAAACCCTCCCCACTCCACACCATTACCAAACCCCCCATCCTTCCCCCCAATCACCTAAAAAACACTTAATACCTAAAATTCCTAATTACCCCCACCAATCTCTAACTATAACTCCACCCCTTCCCCTTCACACCCTTCCCCCCCCCCCATCCTTATCTCCCACCACCTATAACCCACACCATTACATATTATACTCCATCCTAAACCCACAACCCCAAAATTCCCCCTCACCCTTAATTCCTACAACAAACCTCCCATAATTTACACACCCCCTTTCCTCCCTATCCCCCCCCCCTCCCCCACTAATAAATAAACTTACCCCTCCAATAATACATCTACAAACTACCTCACCCAAACATATTCCCAAACTAACCAACATAACCTTCCTCCTCAACACACCACCCACCACACCCTCCTTAACCCCCCACAACAAACCCAACTTAAAAACAATAAAATTCCACTCAAATTACAAAAACCCTTTCATACCCCCACTCAAACCACAAACCTACTTACCCCCCCTAATCCTAAACTCATTTACTTCATTACCTCACCTTTCCTTACCCCCCATAACTCCATACCACCCTCATCCACATACTACTAAAATATTTATCCTACCTTACCAAATTCCACAAACCCCCACAACAAACACATAAATCCCATCAACTTCAAAATCCCATAATAAATTACAATACAACCCATAATACCCAAATAATAAACCCATTATCTCTCCATTCCAATCCATTCCCAACAAACCCCCATCCCTTCATATCCCTCCCCTATTTCTATAACTTTAATACCCTCCATACCCCCTAAATTTTCTATCTATTCCATTACCCTAAATACTCACTTAATTCAACACTAATCCTATATTTCTTTCACAAACCCCCCCCCCCATTTAAATTCTTAACACCAAAAAACATTTAAAAAAACATCTAAAAACAATTCCCTCACATTTTAAATCTTTACATAATTTCCTACTATACCCCCCCCCCTTCATATTATCATCCCATTCCCAAAACCAAAACCCCAATATAAATTCCTAAAAAACCCCCATATAAACACAACCCAACATATAAAAACCCCCATAATCAACACATCAATATATTATCAAACCCATTAACATACCTAACATCTCATACATATCAAACTTTACACCCACCAACCCAATACCAATACCCATATAACCTCCACCCCACCACTACCAACCCATCTTCCACATTTATCCCCCCCCAAAACACAAACCCCCACCCCTAATATTCTCCACCTCATCCCACAACAACTCCCTCCCCCCCACAACTAAATATAACCCCCCATACACTTAAACAAACCAAATCACCACAAAAAAACAACACTAATAATAATAATCTCTCTCAACAAAAAAAAAACCTAATAATAATAATCTCTCTCTCAAAAAAAACCAAAAAATAATAATAATCTCTCTCAACAAAAAAAACCATAATATAAATAATCTCTCTCAACCCACAAAAACCACACACCTAATAATAATATAATCTCTATCACCCTTCCCAACCCCAACCAAATCCCCCATCCACTATAATCTAAATTCCAACTTACAAATACATATTAATTCCCAACAATCCAACACCCCCAATAACTAAAACTACATAACTCCATACAAAAAACTAAAAAAACCACCCACACACCCAAACAACAAATTACACTCCCACCCACCTCCACACTCATCAACCCCCCCCCAATCCCACCCCCCCCATCACCTCTTCCACCCTACCCCCACCTCCACACTCCCATACCCCCAACACCCTAAATACCCCATAACCAAAAATTTCCCCCACCCCCTACAAAAAAATTCCACCATCCCTCACCCATCACCTACCCTTCCCCCCACACACCCCCCCTATTTCCCTATCTCCATTTTTTCCATTAATTCCCTTTCATCCCCTTTTTCCTCACCATCACCCTTCCCCACCTACCCCTCTATTCCCTTCCACAATTTCTCCTATTCCTTAACTACTCTATCCTAACCCTCCTTTACTTTCCCTTTCTACTCTTATACCTCATTCTTCTACTTAACTCTTAAACCTATCCCTCCCCCCCCTCCCATTTCCCCTTATCCACACCCATCCCCCCCCCCTACCCCCAACACATCACCACTCACCAACTCCTTCTTCTCTTCAAATACCCACCCCCCCACCCAACACCCCTCCCATCACACATTAATCTATCCTACCACCCCAAAAACTCCCCAAATCCCATCTAAACAACACTCACATCACCATCCTCTTTTCACTTACTAATCCATTACTTTAATCCTAATCTCTCCCTTTTACCTACCCTCTAACCTCCCTCTCCACCCCCACAACCTCCTCTATAAAACTTCATTCCATTCCATATTATTTTACACATCAACAACCCCCACCATTTCTATCAACCTACCTTCTCAATTTCACCATCCAATCCTCCCCCATAAAATTCAACTTCCCCCCCCCTCTAATCTAAATTCTCCTATAACTTATTAATCACATCCCCCATAAATCCTACCTCCTATCCCCTAACATAAATATATCCCCCTCCTCCAAAACCCAAACAACATACACCTTTCTTATTCTATCAAAACCCCCTTTAACCTATAAAAAAATTATATAACCTCAAATATCCCCATACAAATCTCTATTCCTACAACCCTCTTAAAACTTTCCTATCCTCCCATTAACCTCCAATCTTATCCCCCCTTATTCCCAAAAACATATACCAAAAATTCCTTCACACATCAAAACTCCTCATAAATATCCTATTCCAAATTAAAACTAATATTAAAACCTAATCCTAATTAAATACCTCCCCTCACCTCAACCCACCTATAATCTTTAACCCACATATAATACTCTAAACAAAACCACCACTACCACACATCACAAAATAACCAAATCACAAACACATCCCCTAAACATCTACCCATCCCCCCTCTCCTACACAAACAACTAAACATCAAACCACAATCCAATCATCCCCCACTCCTACATCTTCCATCCAAAACTACTTAACAAAACACCAACTCAATATTATCTAATTGTCTCAGAATTTACTGCGATAAGCGATAATATTGTCGTTATGAGATCATTTTCAACTAATACAATGATAATGATGCAGACACCTTTTCAATAAATAAACTTTTATTTTTAAAGACCACCACCGGAAGTGGCGGAAGTAGCAGGAGGGTTTTGATGCTAACAGAGCTAACAGGCTCTAGCTAAGCTAGCGGGGTTTTTGTATAAAGTTTTTTGCTAAGAATGCTGCTCTGCAGTGTATCTTTGTCCAGAGACCATCCAGAAACTTTAATGAGAACTTAAGGGATGACATAAGTTCACAACTACTGTGTCCCCCATTGTCAATCCTGGTTAAGTCCTGGTTTAGGTCCTGTTTTGGCTGTATTTTGTATTTTTGAGTAATTTCAGTCTGCTAGACCGCTAATGTTCCCATGACCACTTTGAGGCTCTCTGACCTGAGAGAGAGGGAGAGAACGAGACGGGAAAAACAAGCATGCAAATGGAATTTATTGCGGCCAGAAAAAATATTGAGCCAATTTTTATTATTGTGCGATTAATTGATTTATTGAATAACGCGACAGGCCTACTTAATCCATCTCCTGAGTCCACTTACAAGAGGGTGGAATAGAATAAGGAGACAACTGTCGCTTCATAAAAGCCACACACACCAAACTACGACCCTCTAAACCAGCAATAAGTTTCCACAAATACACATTGAATATACCTTTGAATGAAGAGCGGGGCCTTCTTCTGGTTCAGCGTTTTTTGGAGCCACAAATTTTGAATAAGGCACAGGGCCTGCTAGTTTTTCAGTGCTTTTTGGATTCACAAGCTGAGTGAGAGAGAGAAAGAGTGAAAGTGATGGTGAGACCATCTGAGAGAGGGCGGGAGAGAGTGATTGAAATTAATGTGTTCATGACCACTGTTCATGAAAATGTAGGTGTGTGTAATAACTCCCACCTATTTTTTTTTCCCTTTTGTTGTCATGCAAGGTTTCAGTCAATCAGTGTATAATTTGACAAACCTCTTTTCTCCAAGGACAGTCACTTCCTCCGTAATCGTAAGTTATTTCCTCTCCCTGATTAATCTCACGAAGCGCAAAAAGAAAAAGATGCGGCTTGTCTTTCAGCACAATCAGTTTCATTTTGCAGTTGGGGTTATAGTGGTCATCATTAACCAGCCTCCCAAAGGTGCCATCGTCCTGTGTCGCATCAATACTTAAAAAGAGAAATTCAGTATATTAGACATGTTCTTTACAATCAATAAAGCCCTTTGGTGGCCCCCTAATGATATTGGTGAGAAGAGTATTTTGTGGCATCTCACAGTTTAGGAGCAGCAGCAGTAAAACTTACAGCCATAAAGAAAAGCCTTTTTAGTAGCAACTGCCAAGTAGACCACTCGATGATGTGATGATATAAAGCTCAGCAGCACAATCTAACAAAAAACTACAAACTTTCTTTTTTTTGTACTGATGACGACTGTTAATTTGATTGGTTAAAACAAGCCTTGACAGAATTTCAAGATTTCAGAGCCTATCATTTAAAATGTCTTTTATTTTATTTAGGGATCATAGTAAATCATTGTTTTTTTTGTTGTCCTTTTTTCAGATATTTTCAGTATTTTATGGATCAAAAAGAAATAAACAAATGTACTATTAGGTGGGCCACCAAAAAGCCCTTAACAACAATAGAGATTAAGTTTAATCTTACCACCACTTTCCTCCTCTCCAGCGGAAATCAAACAAAAAGTCCACACAGGCATTGGGACAATTCCTCCTGTTTTCTGCCTCTTTCGCCGTAATTAAATCACCTCTATACTCTACGACAAAGTCGCCTAATTGCAGAATCACCGTGGAAAACACTCCTCGCCCTAGTACATACAGTAGATACAAAATTACATTTTCAGATCGTTTTCATCATCTGCACAACCTCTGAGGGACCTCATCTATCTGACCAAGGACCGATGAATGAACAAGGAAATAAATAAATGCAGACTGGAAGTAATGAAGTATTTTGTTTTGCACCAAAGAATGTTGTATAAGGATATTACATATTTAATATCAAATATTTTTTAAGTGTTATCTTAATAATTATCAGCAGATTATGACATTTATTTGTTCATTCATTTATTATTTTGACAGTTTTGGTCCTCCATAGCCATACTTTGGAGATTTCATGGCACTTTGAAGCAACTGTGGTTAAAGTTAAACTCATCATTCTAACAATAAGCACAAGGAAGTACTCTTCCACTACATGTTGTGGTTATCTCAAGGCCAAGCTACTGGCAGCCCGGTGAATGCTGATTGGAGTTCTCCATTCCTCCATGCTATATAATATCACTTGCATTCTGTAACTAATCTGTTAGTGCTCGTCTACCATCGAAAATAAAACATGTCTGCTGTCTGAAAGACACAATTGTCATTTTCTTCAATACCTTTGAATGAGCTGATCCATTTTTCCTCAAGCTGTGGCGTTTTGTCCAGTCCCTTGCTTGCAAAGTCAATGGCCTCGTTCATAGGATTCATCCTCTGCCTCCTTGGAGCCATCTGCAACAATTACAACGCATGCAGCTTTAATATAAATCAGATAAACCATATATTTACAATCAATAAAAGGACTGGAATCACTTCATTATTAGGCCACATCTTGATCGGCTGAATCCACAAAACACAATATTTTCAATGTTATGACATTTTACCTCAGGAGCACAAGTTGCCCATATTGCAAAAATAAAAGTCACCGAGTACTGTACAAACAGTGTAAACAATACCATTAAACACACATGATGTCACACACTCATAAACTCATGTTTAAAGAAGAGTGTAGCTCGTCTGTCTCACTGAAATCTTCACTAGCTCCTGCAGGCTCCAAATCTAGCAGTTGTGCTGCTAGATTTGAAGCATATATATATATATATATCTCCTGTACAGAGAGCCTTTTGACTCCAAAAAGGACAAGATTTACATGGGTTTCAATGGGAGCAAAACAGAGTTGTCCCATCTCTGCTCATAAGTACTACAAACTGCATTACGTGTGTCTTTATGTCAAATGTAAACGGTTGGCTCTGTGTCGCTAACTCACCCCTTTGTTTCATCAAGACTCGGGCACGCGTGAGTCCAACAAAACTAAAAAGCACAACATTCAGTGGCGCACCTCAACACGGAGTCTGGGTGCTTTCACAGACTGTGGAAACTGTTGGAATTTTTAGTTTTCGGCGGAAAAAATGCGGCGAATACAAGAGGGAGGAACTTTCTCTCGTTGTGTTTCAAAAGAACAGATGTCACTCAGTTTTCTATGGAAAAAAAAAATCCAACGTTCATTTACAGTAATATCTGCCGTTCATGACACATAATGTGAACTAATTCACGTTCAAGTTATTTATTTAAAAATGTGTTGCCTTCAGTTCAACGTTCACGAAAAAATGAGCTTGTTCAATGAACGCGTTCTTTTGAACTCGTTCACGCACAAAACTGCGGACTAAACAGCAGCACTGTGACATATGCATAGCAGTGCACAAAGCGTGGTGAACGTGTTCCTATTCTCTCCCTAAAGTGCATCACTCCCGTCTCTTTAAAATCTGAAAAATACTTGTAATTATGTACTTTTGAACAAATCACGTCCATCAGTCCATTTACAGCGGAAAATGATCAACCCAGACTTTCGCGGCTTCAATGGTTCCAACATGATATAGCATCGACGGCTAATGAAGAGATTATTTAAACTAGCTATGAACTCAACATAATGTTCATCTGCATGTCTGGTTATATTATCTGATCATATAATGATCAGATAATTTCATGTCTGTGGCCAATTCAGCGTTACCTGTTAATCTGCTGTTTTATTTAAACAAGAAACATATGCTAAAATATTTAGCCTTTGAGCTTTCATTAGGCTAGCCCTTCTCCCGCAAAAGTTACATTTTACTGATTACTTGTAATTTTCTGACAACTAAGTGAAAGCCTACACTCATAATAGTTTACCATTCAATACAATACAAGTTTTAAGCACTTACCTTAATATTAATTGAGGATATCACGGTTAAATCTGATATTGTTTCTCCTCGGTTCTTGTCTGCTGAGTCAGGTGCAGGGGGGTGGGGATTTCCGGAGCACGTAGTACGTAGAGGACGCACGGGCTACTACGCGGGAATTTGTGTAACTTTTGGCGCCACAATGTGTGAAAATTGGCGGAATTGTGTATGAAAATTGAAAAAAAAAAAAGACCCATACACATGTGTGTTGGTGACCTCATATACCCACGGTATATGGGGTCAATATGTATGAGGGCCTTACAAGAGAACAAAAAGTTATTACAGACTATTAGGAATATTAGCTTACAATAGATGTATAATAATAATTATACCTTCATAAAAAACAATTTTAACTATAATTATTCAATAATTATGACAAGAAGAAGTTCTTGGTTTATGAGGCCAGTCAGAATGGCCTCATAAACTGAATGGCCTCATAGTGCTGGTGAGTAACCCTAAATTTTGGCCTCATAAACCACTTATGCCAACCCACACACACACATACACACACACATACACACACACATACACACACACATACCGGTCTGTCGCGCTCCTCTGTGTCACGGAGCCCAAAGGATTCGCGCAAATACGCGGCTCCAGTCAAACCACATGGAACATGTTTGTGTTTATGGTCCTCGGGATCAGCTCCACACACATCACTTGTATTTAAACTTTTGTGAAGACCTGTGAGACGCGGCTCGTCACTCGCTGCTCTGACCATGTGAACGAGCCGTCGTTTGCTGCTACTGTAGAAAGTTTTGGTATTAACCCGCAGCACAGAAGAATGGGAAGATTAAAAAAGCAGTTCTCTGTGCGCAAAGGTGCCGGAGCTGTTGCGGGTTTGGGCGCCGCTGTCTCGGCTCTGATCCAGTAGAACGCAGAGCTGCACTTATGAAAAGTACGCGGCTCGAAATGGCTGTTATTTCAAAGAACGTGGACTATTTTAAACTACGCGGTTAACCGGTTTCAACCGGTTAATGAGGCTCGGTGGTCGGTCATGAAAATTCATAGTTTTTTACATCCCTACTCTGTGGTCTCTCTCTGGTCTCTCTCTCTGGTCTCTCTCTGGTGTGGCTCTCTGGTCTCTCTCAGATCTCTCTCTCTCTGGTCTCTCTCTAGTCTCTCTCTGGTCTCTCTGGTCTATCTCGCTGTTCTCTCTTTCTGATCTCTCTCTTTGGTCTCTCTCTGGTCTCTCTCTCTGGTCTCTCTCTCTGGTCCTCTCTCTGGGATCTCTCTCTGATCTCTCTCTGGTCTCTCTCTCTGGTCTCTCTCTGGTCTATCTCGCTGTTCTCTCTTTCTGATCTCTCTCTGGGCTCTCTCTCTGGTCTCTCTCAGGTCTCTCTCTGGTCTCTTGCCAGTCTCTCTCTGGTCTCTCTCTCATGTCTACCTCTGGTCTCTCTCAGGTCTCTTTATGGTCTTGCTCTGGTCTTTCTATGGTCTCTCTCTGGTCTCTCTCTCTGGTCTCTCTCTGGTCTCTCTCTGTTTATCTCTGGTCCTCTCTCTGGTCTCTCTCTGGTCTGTCTCTGGTTTCTCACTTTTCTCTCTCTGGTCTCTCTCTCCGGTCTCTCTGGTCTCTCTCGCCAGTCTCTTTCTCATGTCTCCCTCTGGTCTCTCTCAGGTCTCTTTATGGTCTCGCTCTGGTCTCTGGTCTCTCTCTGGTCTTTCTCTGGTTATCCCTTGTCCTCTCTCTGGTCTCTCTCTGGTCTGTCTCTGGTTTCTCACTGGTCTCTCTCTGGTCTTTCTCTTGTCTCTCTCTTGTCTCTCTCAGGTCTCTCTCTGGTCTCTCTCTCTGGTCTCCCTCTGGTGTCGCTCTCTGGTCTCTCTCAGATCTCTCTCTCTGGTCTCTCTTTGGTCTCTCTCTGGTCTCTCTCTCTGGTCCTCTCTCTGGTTTCTCTCTCTGGTCTCTCTCTCTGGTTTCTCTCTGGTCCTCTCTCTGATCTCTCTCTCCGGTCTCTCTCTCCGGGTCTATCTCTCCGGTCTCTTTCTGCTCTCTCTCTGTTCTCTCTCTGATCTCACTCTGATCTCTCTCTGGTCTCTCTCTCATGTCTCCCTCTGGTCTCTCTGTGGTCTCTTTCTCTGGTCTCTCTCTGGTGTCTCTCTCCGGTCTCTCTCTAGACTCTCTCTGGTCTCTCTCCGGTCTCTCTCTGGTCTCTCTCTCTCTGATCTCTCTCTGGTCTATCTTGCTGTTATCTCTTTCTTTCTCTCTGGTTTCTCTTCGGTCATCTCTCCGGGCTCTCTCTCTGGTCTCTCTCTCCAGTCTCTCTGGTCTCTCTTGCCAGTCTCTCTCATGTCTCCCTCTGGTCTCTCTCAGGTCTCTTTATGGTCTCGCTCTGGTCTCTCTATGGTCTTTCTCTGGTCTCCTTCTGGTCTCTCTCTCTGGTCTTTCTCTGGTTATCTCTCGTCCTCTCACTGGTCTCTCTCTGGTCTCTCTCTCTGGTCTCTCTCTGGTGTCGCTCTCTCTCAGATCTCTCTCTCTAGTCTCTCTTTGATCTCTCTCTGGTCCCTCTCTCTGGTCTCTTTCTGGTCTCTCTCTGGTCTTTCTCTCTGGTCCTCTTTCTGGTCTCTCTCTCTGGTCTCTCTCTTGTCCCCTCTCTGGTCTCTCTCTCTGGTCCTCTCTCTGGTGTCTCTCTCTCTGGTCTCTTCCTCTGGTCTCTCTGTGGTCCTCTCTCTGGTCTCTCTCTCTGGTCCTCTCTCTGGTCTCTCTCTGGTCTCTCTGTCTGGTCTCTTTCTGGTCTGTCTCGCTGTTCTCTCTTTCTGATCTCTCTCTTTGGTCACTCTCTCGTCTCTCTTTGGTCCTCTCTCTGGGCTCTCTCTCTGGTCTCTCTCTGGTCTCTTGCCAGTCTCTCTCTGGTCTCTCTCTCATGTCTCCCTCTGGTCTCTCTCAGGTCTCTTTATGGTCTTGCTCTGGTCTTTCTATGGTCTCTCTCTGGTCTCTCTCTCTGGTCTCTCTCTGGTTATCTCTGGTCCTCTCTCTGGTCTGTCTCTGGTTTCTCACTTTTCTCTCTCTGGTCTCTCTCTCCGGTTTCTCTGGTCTCTCTCTCTAGTCTTTGTCTGGTTATCTCTGGTCTTCTCTCTGGTCTCTCTCTGGTCTGTCTCTGGTTTCTCACTTTTCTCTCTCTGGTCTCTCTCTCCGGTCTCTCTGGTCTCTCTCGCCAGTCTCTCTCTGGTCTCTCTCTCATGTCTCCCTCTGGTCTCTCTCAGGTCTCTTTATGGTCTTGCTCTGGTCTCTGGTCTCTCTCTGGTCCCTCTCTGGTGTCTCTCTCTGGTCTTTTTCAGGTTATCCCTCGTCCTCTCTCTGGTCTCTCTCTGGTCTGTCTCTGGTTTCTCACTGGTCTCTCTCTGGTCTCTCTCAGGTCTCTCTCTGGTCTCTCTCTCTGGTCTCTCTCTCTGGTCTCCCTCTGGCGTCGCTCTCTGGTCTCTCTCAGATCTCTCTCTCTGGTCTCTCTTTGGTCCCTCTCTGGTCCTCTCTCTGGTTTCTCTCTC